TACACCAGGGCCCTCAACGAAGAGAAACATCTGTCAAGATTTATGTTACAACATGCCCCAATTAGCTTCAACAGTTAGAAGCTTAACTTGTTGAGTTACACAAAGGGCCCTCTCTCTTTTTCTGTCTTCTTTATGGACACTTACAAGAAGAGGAAGGGTGACATGAGGCTGAAAAAGCTGATTTACTTTACATTTCCATCAGGTGTACTGCTTTACTTACGGCCTCCCATAAGCCCCTAGGATTCCTGCGGCTCTGCCCAGGTGGTGCCCCACCCCCCACCTCCAGCACCCTTCCCTGTCCTCCTGGTCTCCACCCTTTACACCATCTCCTTCCCCAACCCCTGTGTCACTGTCTCCAGGGAGCCTCCCCTGGTGTCCTCCAGGGCACTGCGACTTCTCTATCCCCAGAGTGGACGGTGTTTGACCGAGTGTCCTCTTAGATAGCTGAACATACATCAATAGCCATGGCTAATATTTACCGCCCCATTTTTACGACTGTGCAAAGCACTTTACACAGGCTATTCAATTTGTCCACACAGCTACTTTAAAGAGAGGTACTGTGGCTTTCCTCGTTTTATAGATGGGGAAACTGAGGCCCAAGAGGGAAGTTGCTTTATGCTATTTGACAAAAGCCAGAAACAGGGATAAGGAAGACAAGGCCATCCTACGCTGTCTGAGCTTCTCCCCAAGCAGACCGCGGCCCTGCTGCTTGCTAATAGCAGCAGCTTTTATTAATTCCTGGGGTCTCTCTAGACGGACACCCGCCCAGCCCTGGTTTCTCCACTAAAGCCTCTTTGTGGGCACTGGCTCTGGATGGCAACTCTGATCCAGCAGCAGACCCAGCCTCGCTTTCTCAGTAAAGGGGAACATCTTTGCTGGGTACACTTCAGATGTATTTCAAGAGAACAGAGGAATCTCTGGCTACTAATTTGCTTCCAAAACCTCTCAGAGGCTTCTTTCTGTTTAGATCCCGGGGTCAGCTGCTACTTCTGAAGACGTTTCTGCTACCGGCTGCTCTTGTGCCTGAACTTGGTGTGTGAGCAGGTGTTAGGCCTCCTGGGGCCCATCCCCCACCCCCACCCACTCTATCCTGGTAGAGTGCATTTAGGGAGGGTCTGAATTACAGGGACAATCTCTCCAAGGGAAGGGGAGCCAAGGCAGTGGCTTCTTTGGGGAACGGCTTTTTGCTCCTTTAAATAAACATTTCCAAATTGCTTTGTCATTTTCAAAGGTTTCTTAGCTTGTGAAGGAACTACATGGTAAAAGGTATCCTTGTAAATGGAGATAGGTTTTTAACCCCTTTTTTGGGTCTCAGTTTCAAAATGTGCGGGCAGTTTCAGAATGCACAGCTCCAGCTCACACAGGGGGAACTAGGGTCTCTGAGGCTTCCATACCCAGGAGAGCACCTAGGAAAAGTACAGTTCCCCTGTGGGCCAGGGGGAGTTGGACTTGCTAAGACACCCTGCTCTGGATTGAACTGTGTCTACGCCTAAATTTATACACCGAAGTCCTAACTCCTGTACCTCAGAATGTGACCTTATTTAGAAGGTGGGTCTTTACAGAGCTGATGAAGGTTAAATGAAGTGATCAGGGCGGGCCCTCATGCAATATGGCCGGTGCCCCTCTAAGAAGAGGGGATTCGGACACGGGCACGCACAGAGGGGTGACCAGGTGAGCACACAGGGAGAAGACGGCCGACCACAAGCCAAGAACAGAGACCTCGTAGGAACCAACCCTCTCTACATCTGGAAGCCTTCAATATAATAAAGCTGCACCAGGACTCTCACTGAGACTTCTAGCCTCCAGAATCATGAGACAATACATTCTGTTGTCTAAGGCACTCAGCCCGTGGTCCTTTTCTATTACGGCAGCCCTAGAAAAATAAACCGGATTTCACACTGTGTCCGATACCTGGATTAAGCTACGCCTTTCTGTGGTCTTAAATCTTCGGTTGAGCCAAAAGAAGCATCTTCATAAATATTTCTTTAAAGACAGTGGCAACCTGATGCCTACAGAGAAGCCCACTTCACACGCTCAGCCTCGTGTGTATTCTGCAATTCCCTTTGAAAGACGCCTCGAGAAGACGTGAAGACGGCAGCACAGCAGCACGGCAGCCTTGCTGAGATTTTTTTTTTACCTGTGGTTCTAGGAACTCAGAGGCATATTAACATTAAGGCTTCGCATAGACCACTAAGCCACTTCTAAGAGCAAGGCTACCTGAGGCATTTTGCAAAAATACGTCTGTGCCACCGCTTTTCCTTTCCACACCTACCGCAACTCTTTGGGGCGACGCGTTGCACCTTGCCAGGGGACCAAAGTTGGGCTCCTGCAAGACTTTCATGTTGCGAACCATGTGTGATAATTCCAGGGAATTTCGGCCCCATCTTATCTTCTCACCTCAGCAAATGAAGTGAGAACTCAGTGTGGTGTGGGGAATAGGAGCGGTGTTTTCTGTGGTAGACCACATTCATTTTGCATGCCAGCCTTTCAGACTCTCGCTTGCCTTGTACGGAGAAGGGAATAATGGTTTGCTTAGTCCCACGCCCCTCTTTCCCCCCATTTCCCACATGGGTATCTCGCCCAAAGTGGGTTTCTTTCTGTGAGAACTGCGTGGATGAATAAGGTACTGTCCCAGGAAGACAACAAGATGTTTTCCGCTCTAGCTCGCAGCTGGACAGATGCTATAAATTAAGGGCAGCAAGAAATGACCATGGTACTGAGTGCTGCTGATGACCAGGCTATGGAAACAGGGCTGAAAACTCTAAGCGAGACCAATGTGCTGGGGACCATGGTGATTGTCCTAGCATCAGGCTCAAGGCAATACCCCCAAATGTTACGCAAAGCAATGGCGTTTGGCCACCTCTCCGGCTCCCGTGAGTGGTGCTAATCCAGACAATTGAAACCGTCATGTTGATGGAGCACCTTGATCAACTTAACTGGGAAATGGCCAACATTTCACTTTGGTTCTCTGAAATTAAATCTCAATATTATATTATTGAGTTAGAGATTATGAAAGGCCCCGAGTTCCCTTTACTGAGAGGAAGAAATGAAAAGACATTTAGCCAGGAGCCCTTCTGAGTCTTGGTTGGGGTTCTAGGGTCCTTTCCCCACAGCCCCCTTGAAAACTAACTGCCACTAGCTCTTACCCTGGGGTGGGGGGGGTGACTGCCCACGGGGCACGGCAGCTGTGGGGCTGTGCTAGGGGCCAGGCTCCTTCTGTTTCCTGCTGTCTGTGCAGGTCACCGGGTCCCCTTATTATCTTTGTTGTCTGACTGGTAAGGACAGAAGGCATGCCAGCACCACACACAGAAATCCAATCTATTGCCCAGTGAAATGTTTTAAAATTTCCTGACTCTGCCTTCCTGAGTTGATAAAATAGGAAACAATCATCGTTTGTAAGGGGGGAGGTGTTGAAAGCGAGTAAAGGCAGGAAGATCTTTTTTCTGTAATTCTACAAATATTGCTTCCTTCGCTTGTTAGCGACCCAGAGGAAACGCAGCGAGGGAGCAGTTCGCAGCTTCTCACCAGTGGCCACCGGAGCCCAGGGCTGCGAGGATGTGTGACTCATACACAGCGCATGATTCAACTTCACTAAAATTTCCTCAGCTGCCAGTAAAGAAGCACTTGAAAACCCTTTAATTTGAAGCTTTGAATCGGTTAATGACTTGCTTTCTTCCCCCTTCTTCTGAAATCCTCTCTCCACCACCGCCAGCACACACACACACACACACACACACACACACACACACACACACACACACACGTCAAGTGCTTAAATTTCAGGCACCCTGCAACCTAGAAACTTTGTGGCATTCACAACAGTGTTTGTTGTGACAAAGTGCCTGGCAGCCCTGTGCATTCTCCTGCTCACTTGGCTGTATGAATAAATAACGAGTCACAGATACTATTTGGGTGCGCTTGAGAGTTGTAGCCAGAAAATTAATTATCCCCCAACCCATCCCACTCCATCCCAGCTCTGCCAAACCATCAAGCCACACTTCGCAGGCATTGGTGAAAGTGCGTGCCCTGACACTCTGCAATGCCTCCGTGACATTTTTATTATTTTTGTTGGTTTAAGCACGGCCCTCTTTACCCACCAAAGACACACAAAACAAGCATGCACACGCGCACACACACACGTACACACTCACAGCTCACCTCTGCAGCTTTGCACATTTCAGGAGGCTGGCTGCAAAAACGCAGACAGGTTTTCTGTCCTAGCTGCTCCTGTTAGGAGCATTGCAATCTGATTTAAACTGCAACAACGTTTGACTTAGAGAACGTCTTTATTTGCTCTTTTGCAGAGAGAGCCCTCTGTGAGGGACAAATTACTTTCTTTCTCTCTTGAAAGATGCTGGTTACCTCTTTGCACTGAGACTGCAAGGCACAACACAGCACAACCTCATCCCCGTGCTTTCCGTCTAGACAAAACTGCCTGGCTCCTGCGCTCTGTCTCTTGGGGACAAGCCAGTGGTCACTTTGTCCCTGAAGTCCCGGGGCTGGTGTCATGCCTATCTGTGTGCCTACTTCAGCCTCCGCCCCAGGCTGGCACAGCCCTCCTGGATGGCTGTGCATGTGCCTCTGGAGCCTGGGGCAGGCTGGAGTGTGGGCCACACAAAGTGCTGAGTGCAGGGTAACTCAGCTGCTGTCATTCCGGGCAAGGGACAGCAAAAGAAAACCCCAGAGAGCTTCGTGCAAGCTTTGTAATCTCCAGGACTTTAATCAGGAACAGCCCAACTTACTCGCACTCGACAAAGTTTTCACGCACCGACTGAACACTTCAACAGCTTAACTAAGTATTTATTAAAACGTTTCTGAAGAGCTGCCATCTGATGGATAAGTAATCCAATAGCCTTGTAATCATATGCCTGAGTCTGAATTCCTCCCACCAAACAGACAGGGGATCAGCCGGGCTATCTGCACGAGTTACAACAGGCTGCCATTTCATTATCTAAAAAAGCTGAGCAAAAGTCGATATTAAAAGACCAGCATGTACTCACCTCTCATGAAGCACTGTGGGTATGAAGGAAATGACTCAAATATGCTGTCTGAAGCCATCGCTTCCTCCTGAAAATGCACCCTCTTCTGAAGGCGGGGGATTCAATGATTTCTTTTACCTTAGGAGTGAAAACCAAGAAAGGTCACTTGTTTTGACTTCACCCCAAGCCATGGCTCCCTACATCTCTTTTTTTCCACCCCCCTCAATACCTCTGGGGCTCCCTGAGCCCTATGAAAAATGTACCTTTGCGAAAACAAATATTCAAATTGTTAAAGATTAAAAAAAAAAAAAGCAGTGTCTTGGCTGTGGGTTGATGATGTTCACCGCTCTGCGAAACCCTGTGGTTTGTAGCCAGTATGATTCGTCCTGCCTGCTGACCACTATGCCGGGCTTAGACTTCTAACACTGCCAGCCTACCCAACTTGTGGTTCTGTGGTTGTTTATGAGGCCCAAAGAAGTTTTCACACAACCCAAATTACAAATTTAACTGTTCCCCTTTCCACAGCTCTTCTTAATTGGTTCTCGCCAATCATGTGACTTCAATGATGTCAATTTTTTTTTTTTTAACTTTCTGAGCAATGCCCTTCCTTTCCTCCACCTGCCTCCCCCAGGCTGTGCAAGAAAACAGCCCAGTAGGCTTTGCAAGAGAGCGACTGGAGAAAAAAGTGACTCAGTCTCTTATTATATCAATGGTCTTTGCTGATTTAGTACAACTCGGGCTCTGCTGTTGTTATTTGTGGTTTTTGGAACTACTGATTATTTTGATTAAGAGTTCATTGCTGCTTATTCAATAGTAATTCTACCCTGGCACCGGGCTGCTAAGACAGGAAGTGGAGCCTATCATTTATGATGCTGGGCATCAGAAGCTCAGGAGAATTCAGCCCCTGGTAAAGACCATAACGGCGTAAGTGAAACTAAAAGGGAGGGGGAAAAAAAAGGAAATGTTTTGGCAAGAGTCTGACCCCTAAAAGGGTCTAGCAACTTACTGGTATTTTAAAGCCTGAAAAAAGGAAGCATATTAATTTTGTGATGAAAAGACCATTTTAATAAAACCAAAATTATGTGGTTTTATTCCTCCTTAATGGACATCTTTTCAGTAAAGAGATAACATCATAGTACTCTCCTACTCTCTCTCTCTCTCTCTCTCTCTCTCTCTCTCTATCTATCTATCTATCTCTCTCATCTCTCTTTCTCAAATTAGGAAGCTAAAGGAAAAGAAAGAAAACAGAGGTTTTGTATTGTGAGCGGTTTATTGCTTGCAGCAGTTTATTTTTTGTTTTCACCTGTGAAAGTTCACTGCCTTGCCCTTCTGTAGCTCAGTTCACCCCATCTGTAGGTAGAACTCAGCCCGGTGCTATCATACCCACACTCTGAGTGCGTTACGGAGATGCATGCATGAGAGAGGAAGCAGAGGAGACGCTGTTCCAGAGCAAGTCCCCTCTCAGGGGGCTGACCCAAAGTCATTGTACAGCTCATCCCCTGCTTTCGGGAGAAGACATGCCTGTGTGGAGGTAGGTCCCGAAAAATACAAGTTGGCATGTGGGCAAGCCATTCTGGGCACACGTATGTCTTTCTTTTTCCTGCCCATTGGTTTTACCTGCTAACGAGTAAAATATTGTTTTGGGGAAAGTTCCAAGATAAAGTAACACTCTCCTTTCCCAATTAGTCGCTTTGTTTTGCTTTGATCCACAAGCATCTTCCATAGCATTCTGGCCACTGGACGTTTCAATGCACACACTCAAGAGAAACTGTGAGAAGATGGATTCTAAATGGCAGGCCTGGATCCCAAGCTGCCCTCCAATGACCAGCCAAGGCACTTTGGAAAGCCTGCTCTGTCAGAGTAACCCCTCGATGCTTTCCTCATCCGCCCCATTTCACCCACACTCACCGTGAGACCATGTCCAAGGGCAAACGGCCCAGGTCCTTTAAAAAGAATAGACATGATTTTGACTTACTCCTGTTTTGACTAAAGCAGGAATTGAAACTCAAGTGTCTGCTTTCTCCCAGACTTGTGTGAAGTTAGCTTGCCCAATGCTGACACCTTATTATAATAATATTTATAAGAATAATAGCGTGCGTATTTGTTTTATGAAGTTCATTAATATCCAAATGTCATGTATGTTGCGTATGACTCACAAGGCAAATCCTTTGTGAAGATACTTCATGTTATGTTTCTTTGCTCCCCAAGAAAGCCAAGTCTGGGTTCAGCCCCACAGCAGGTCCCTTCTCTTCTGCACTTAATATTCCCCAGGAGGGTCCTGAGAGCTGAAGGCGGTGGTAACACGCTGCTGCCACTTCACAGTCGGCTCAGACCTAATGATGACTTAGAAATTCAAGTGGCGATGCAGATAAATCCTTTCGATGTTTCATTTTAGAAACCCCCAGATGCTTTCAGCCTTAGGTATCCAGATGCTCAAGGGGAGGGTTTGGATGTGTCAGCTCACCACCCGAATTCTTGGCTTTTCTCTGGGGGCCTAGCTTGAGCCGAACCACACATCTTTCCAAGTGGAGTCTTCGAGGGACAGGTCAAGTTTAAAGACAACTGTGAGTTAGGGCTGAGGTTTGCTGAGGCCTCATCTTGTGCTGTAATCATGTGTAATCATCAGGGCTGGGGTTTCGAGGAGGCACCAGGGGGCAGCGTCTGAAGGCATGCACACCGGCCCAGTGCTGCCTTCCTCTGGGTTATCTGACACAACAGCCACAGCAGTACTTCACAGCTCGGCGAGGTGACAGTTGGAGCCTTTCTGGGCATCTTCCAAGTTATGACAATTAGCAAAGACTGAGCCGGTGGCTGGTGAACTTGGCCTTACCACTTCCTCAGGAGCCCAAGACGAAAATACCCGTATGTCATCAATGAGCCACCTAGAGGAATACTCAGTCCTCTCTGAGCTGGAGCTGTTTAGGATTCCTTACATTTGTGCAGCGACCCACACCCTCTGTCCTACTTCCTGCAAATGACTCAGACCCTGGGCTGCTGCCTTGGGAATTGCACCCACTGTGGCTTTGCCAAGGAATTGGATGGCAGTTTCCATCCTCACTCAGATTGGCCACAGCTTCTACATGTCACTACTAGGAGGAGGGGAATATGCTCAGGTGTCATTTCTAATGGCTGTGTAAAAATACAAGCAAAGGTGGAAAGATGCATTGCTGCATAACCCTGTAATTAATGTGTAGTCTTCTGAGTGCAGTCCAGTTTAATGAAAACATGGTCTGTTAGGTGTCTTCATTACATGATCACTGTATGCTCTCTCTGAACATGCTTATTGTAAAGCAGGTTCTCTGGCCAGAAAATGGACCCCAAAGTGGGAGCCCCCCAAACACTGGATGTAGTCTAAAGCCCCAGGGGGGGCAATGCTGCTAAATTAAATTCTCTCTCTGTAGCACACATTTTCCTCATTTTCTAAATCTTTGTGTTCCAGAAACTTCTGTGTCACGCTGACAATGACCTCAGTGACGATTTTTAAACTGAGACATGGACGACAGGGCTTCATAGAATGAAAATAATCTGACCTTGGCAAATCCAGTGATTTAAAATAACGAAAGAACTCTGCAGGTCCAACAGTTACAGGCCTTCCTTCCTGGACCCTGATGACGGGTCCACCATAGGACACACGCCTCTGATGCACAAGTCTCTTGGTCCTTCAGGTCAAAGTACAATTCAAACTTAAGTCACCACAAGACTTCATTTTATAGCCAGACAAGAGTTTCGGCATTTTTTTCCCCCTTAACCTTCCCTAGATGAAGGTGTATGGCTCTGTGAGGAAACAGGATTTGAAAAAAAGCAACTAGTCAATTGAAAGCTGTCTAATGATACGAAAAGCTGTTTTGTGGTCATTGTTTCAAATATAAGAGTTTAAAGTGTTTCACTACACAAAGGGTGGCCTGTGGGTCAGCAGCATGGACCTTACACAGGGGCTTGTTAGGAATCAGGACCTTGGGTTCTCCCCAGACCTACTGACTTAGAGTCTGTATTTTGACAAGATCCCCAGGTGACTCCTACGCACAGCAAAGCTTGAGAAGCCTTGCTCCAGAGGGGCAAGCCTTGCATATGGGGGAATTTGGTAAAGACTTCATACGCTAATTATCTACATTCTTTGAGATTTCTTTATTCTTTACAGCTTTCTGAAAGGCCTAACTGTTCTGTCTTGTTGCCTTGGCATGACTTTGTAAGCCCTGGGTGTTTCTAGGTTGGCGGAAGCATGGCTCATCTCCTCTAAGATAGAGCTTTCTTGGGTTATCGCTCAGACCTCTCATCTCGAGGGCTGGGTTTGGGTCAAGTTTACAGTTTGAGGTCTGACACACAATGTAGGGAGGCTCCTGTGTGCTCTGTCGACCAAGCTGGTGGCCACATGTATATAAACAGAAGGCTTTTTTCCTCCAGGGGCATCAGATTCTCAGTTTTCACCTAGTTTGCAATTTGGAAACACATTAATCCTGCGAGTTCTTCCAGACGCACAGCATGTGTTCGCGAGGCAGCATTTCAGGTGGCTTCAGCTGTCTTGCCACAGCTGTCCTCCCCACGGGTAACCTGCCTCTGCCCTTCGGCCATGGCCTTGCAGATGTCATGGCCCATGCACTGGTCCAAAAGAAGGGACCCGGCCTCACCTTGTACCCACTTGTAACAGCCAACCCTGCCAGCGTCCAGAGGCCCACGTTACACAGGCACCCAGGAGTTTGGCTACTCCGTCCAGTTGCGTCTGGATCCTTTCAGGCCTGCCTTGGGCCAGAAATCTTGTTTGGAATAGTTTTTCCTTACAGAATGTTGGCTCTTTTGCTTCTGGTGCCATTTGAAACCAGGAGGGTAAAACTGGAGAACTTAAACAAACCCTCCTTGAATGTGAGAAATGTTCAGCATTCGAGGTTTGGTCAAATGATGGAAAACATTTCGAGTTGGTACTGAACTTTCCAGCCAGTTCCTCCAACCTTCAGGCTAATTTTAGCATGAGATCCAGGCAGAGAAAGCAAAGAGAAACAAGGAAACTAAAATTGGAGAAGCCAGAATTCGCATCGGTCAGATAGTGTAAGATTCAATAATTCAGTTTACGTGGCACATAATGAGCGTCTCCAGCCTGATCCATGCACCTGGCTTCAGGAACTTTGGACTTTGTCAGCGTTATCCATTTTCCTGGTGGCAGGCAAATTAACAAACGTCCACATGACTTTTGACAAATTGAAGCACAATGCTACCTTTTTCACTGGGTGCCGGGAGGACCAGTACTTCTTGGACTATGCAAAGTGGTTTTGAATGGAATAAAAAGGAGACCTGTGGTTGATGTTTCAATATGGAAACATACAACATGTGAATTTTAATACTCGCACTTGCCAGGTATCATAAACACATGGCATCAGGACAAAGGAAGAGGTGTGGGGCAGAACACGTTGAAAATATTCTCTGCATTCGATGCTGAAGAAATCCAGACTAGATCATCACTTAATTTTTGAATTAAATGTCCTTTTGGAAGTAAATCGTTCAGCTCTACTAAGGCAGGCTGCAAATGCTTCCAAAGACCTCAAAATGTCAACATTAAAGAACATCAACACTACTGAGAAAACAAAATATCACACTTAAAATTGTGCGGTGTGTATTTTAATTTCCTCCTCTTTAAATTCCATTTCCTTTCTGTTGCTGGTTTAGAAACTGGCTCAGCCTGCTTGGGAGATACTGTGGGCCCAGCCCGGCAGACACAGAAGAGTTGATGAAGGCACATGAGAAGAAGACGAGAAGCTTTGGCCAAGTGAAGCAGAACCTCAGAGGCCAGGACGAGGAATTTGTTTCAATGCTGCACACAGCAGGAAACCGTCAAACGCTTTGAAGCAGGCATGGGATGGGATGAACTTGGAGCTTTTAGAAAATTGATCTGGAAGTACGACTACTTCCATGAATCGGTGGGCTCTGAAAAGCAGGGTTCTTGGCTATTTTTGTTCATTATTATATCTCTAGCAACAATCAATGTGCTTGGTATGTAGAAATCTTTTGAATGAATGAATTAATGGATGCATGGATTGATGGGTGAATGGATGGGTAGACAGGATAGATGGATGGATGACGCTTTATTAGGATAAGCACCTGGGGACTCAGAGGCTGCAATACTTTGGCTATGGAGTAACAAGCACTTTGACCATAATACAGGTATTATATATAATATGCTATAATGGAGGGCAATGGGACTATGATGGCTTGACTACATTAACAGCCTCAGTTTCTCATACCTCCCGTAGTTAGATCCTTTACACTCTAACTGTGGTCCCCTCCCACTCTGGTCCTGAGGTTGGCCTTATGACTTGCTTTAGCCAATGGGAAAGAACAAACTTAATGGAAGCAGAAGCTTGGAAAAGTGCTTGATCATTTGAATGTGCCTGGGCTGGTGTACTGAAAGGTGGGCCACCTGGAAGAGAGAGGAATCCTAGCCAAGGTCATCCCAGATCAGCCAGGGGCCAGCTGACCATCATAAACTTAGATGAGCTCCAGAATAACCCAGAACAGACCATTCAAACCCCGCTGTGACCAGTAGAACTGCCCAGTGAGCAATCATAAATGGTGGTTGATTTAAGCCATAAAGTTTTGGGGTGGTTTGTACCATTGCATTATCATGACAGTAGGTTTTGTTGGGGAAGACATAGAGATGCAGAAAGCACCAATGCTAAGCTGCAGGCTGAGACAATGAGGCTGAATCAGTTCATTCTCACAATGAAAGAAAGTAGAAAGCTGGAGATGGGGAATGCATCAGAGGGGAGTGGAAAGAGGCGGAAGCCAGAGGCAGGTGGCAAGAGAAGCAGGATGAAGAAAAAGGAAGCATGGTTCAAGCCGAGGGAGGAAGACGTTTCAAAGGATGGGAGAGAAACAGTTAGATGCTGAAAGGAGAGATAAGAGAAACAAAGATGACAGAAAGCTCAGCAGATCTGACAAGAAAGAACCATTTGAGATCTGTTCCTTCATGACACCTCCTCAGACTAAACAGGAGGGTGACATCCAATGTTGCTGGTATGCAGCAAGGAGCGCCTTCTTGAATAGGAAGTTAATAGAAAATGAATTGTTACATGTATATGTTTGTCCAAGTATATCTAAGTTGGTTATGTAGCTTTTTCTATTTCAATTCCAACAATATTTCCAGAGCATCTACTGTGATAGAACAGACAGAAATTATATAAAAGAAAGAAAGATTTGAGTCCTCTTTGTTGCTGCATTCCATATAGCAGCTAGACTCTGGGGGTATGTTTGAGATATTTTTATGATAATTGGGAACAATCAGAGGACTGCCTAGATAAATCATTCTTCAAAATGCTTCTCACTCTGGCCTCATGTGACACAGTATGTAGCCTATACTTTTTGATCCAGAAGAATCTAGAGTTGTATCTTGATAAGTTGAGAGCAATGAAATTTGATATTTTTTCCAGCTGAAAAATTAGCTTGCATTTAATTTCACTTCAAAAAGTATACACACACACACACACACACACACACACACGGATCAACAATATTGACTTCAGTTGATGCTCTGACACCAACATGTGAGTGAGCCCAAACATGTTATCTTTTGGTGTTCTACTCTCCCACAGCTAGTCGGACCACACAAAGGGCAGACCTAGAGGAGAGAATTAATTTAATGATAAGTCAGGTGATGAATACTTTTTCTACAGCATCTTACTAGGCAGAGATTATCTTGTTTGCTGCCTGAACTATAAATATCCTGCCACTCATGCTTAATCGGACCTATCTTTTTCTTGGATCAACTCAAGTCTTCACCAATAGACTTCCAGGCTTCTAGTTCTTAGGTCAATCAGATAAAGCCATGAACTCCTGCTGATTAAATTGTTTGATCCCTTTTGGAATGGCATGCCTCCCAGTGCTCCCTTTTCAGAGATGCTGATGGAAATTCAAAAGAGGAGATAGAGGTATGACTTTGTTGACAGTTGTGTCCCCGTTCTGTGCTGTTTCCAGGACAGCGCTGTCCCTGGACTACCTAAGACCTGGGCAGGTGAGAGTTCTCAGAGGTTCACAACCTTTCACCTATTAAAATACACACCTTTTAACTCCACGATTTCCATCGTTATTCCTGTCACTCACCCGATGAATGAATGAGCTTTAGCTCATCCTGTCTAGTAGGATAGACTGAAAACATTTGGAAGAATTTGGTGATTTCACTGTATTTCATGCCCTCACCTAATGGAGCAACATGTTGTTGCTCCATCACTTACTCTCAAATTCAAGTTTATCTCTACCAGGGACACACTTCTGTGATGCAAGGAGGGTAGGGACGCCAGATTTAGCAAAACAAAACAAAAAAGGTTGCACTGCTACCTTTGAATTTTAGAGGAAAAAACATGAATAAGTTTATAGTGTGTCCCAAATTTGCATGGGAGGTACTCATGGTTAAGAAGTGCTCATTGTTTAACTGACACTCAATTTTAACTGGGTGTCTTGTATTTTATCTGTGAGTCCGAGTTGACAGCTGAGATGTGAGAGATGTATATGTACACATATCACCTAAGAAGCAGGAAGCTCTGGGGTAAATTTAAGCAGACAGGAGAAGATAATGGAGTCCGCCAGTGGACTTCAATCACTGCAGGCTGGTGTGGATTTCTTTCTTTCTTTCTTTCTTTCTTTCTTTCTTTCTTTCTTTCTTTCTTTCTTTCTTTCTTTCTTTCTTTCTTTCTTTCTTTCTTTCTTTCTTTCTTTCTTTCTTTCTTTCTTTCTTTCTTTCTTTCTTTCTTTCTTTCTTTCTTTTTCTTTTTTTTTTTTCTTTTTCTTTTTTTGCTTGCAGCCCTTTCAAGGCCCTGGAGGAGGGTTTAATACTAGGCTCTCCTTGCTAGTGGTTTGTCCGGTGGTAAGTAACAATGGCGCAAGGGATCATTTACTTCATTTGTTCCATGCTGGACTCACCTGCTCTCTTGTCCAAGAGGACTCGCTGTGGTATTGTTCTCCTCTGCTCCTTTTCCAAAGCAGAACCCAGGCGTGCTAATTCCTAGGTGGCAGCTACCCTAGATGGAAGGTGGGTGACAGCTGGGAGCTGAGCACGGTCTGCAAGGAGAGGCTTGGGTTTCCATTGTAGTCGGCGCCATAATCTCGCACGCTTCCATCTGCACGGACTTTTGTTGTCGGTCTCAAGCCATTGGCCAGAGCTGAAAACATAAACACCTCCATGTACTGGTCCTTATCATTTTCTTTTTATGTTGGTTTAGGAAATACACCTGAGAGACCAAAGGCACACAATGAACCCAGCAATTACAAACCACCCCGGGCAGGCGGCAAATGCTCAAACAATAAAACACCGGAGGGTGGGGCCGCTGTGAGCTCCTGACTTTCCCCCTGGTGCTGGGGGCCCCTTTGAGCGACCAGCCTCCGGATCTGACAGTAGGAGGCTCTCCCACTTCTGTTCGGGGACAGCCAATTTCAGTACTGCCGAAGATGGGGAATTTAGGAAGCGTCTCTCCTCACTTATTTTGAGGACATGACTGGTACAAGCCATGCACGGTGCTGGGCAAACTATTTAACAAAGGGTAAGAGGCAGGACATAACTAGTGTGTCATCTATGAAACATTTAACCATGGAATGGTTAAAAGGAAAACTGGTTCTCTTTTTTCTCCCATGTACGTCTTCAGCAGAAAAATCCCAAAGGGCATTATAAAGTGGTGGCTGAGGGGCAGCAGAGTGGGGAGAGCCATTTGAAAACACCTCCGCCACTTCATACCTTGGGGGCTAAGCTTTTCACTCATTCAATATGTGTGTATTGAGCACTTTCTATGTATCAGGCACCATGTTAGGGAATGAAATAGACAAAAAGGCCTGTCTCATATAAGTCCTGGGGCAAGCCCGTCTAGAATAGGGGTTATGGATATGAATTTTGGAGCCATACCACCTGAGTTCAAATCCCAGCTCAGCACCTTACTAGTTACGTGTCCTTGGACAAGCAACCTACCTTACCTGTGCCTTGGTGTTCTCACCTGAAAAATGGAGATGATACATCACTTTTTTTCATATGGTTGTTATGATATGTGTCATATATATATATATATATATATATATATATATATGTTAGGTAATAACATTTCTTATGTAAGAGGTTTATTGTGAGGATTAAATTGGCTAATGCCTATGAAGCAATTAGAAAAATTGTTGGCACCTATTAAGTACTAAGTACGTCTTAGGTCTTATTTGGTGGTGACGTTGTGTTGCTATGTATCACTAATTAGTGTGCTAGTTGGGGGGACCGTTTGTACAAATGATAGAGAAAGGGAAAATATATTACCTCTCAAACCTCTCAGGAGAACACTGGGAAGATGCAATTCTGTGGTCATGCTCCGTCCCACAGAGTGTAAATGAAATAAATTGTTTTTATTTGCCTCATTCTAGTTTGGCCCCAAAATGTGAAAAGCATTTCTTCCTTTATGCAATTATTTTAAAATTATCAGAATGGCATCAATGACATGGGCTATCTGTTGAAACGGGCAGAAAGCATGTTTACCATCACTGAATTAGCAATCGGAATTATCTTCCTGGGTGGCTGGGCTGAATTATCGTCCAGAATATTCTCTGTGCCCCTTGTGCCCCACCATCACATGTCCCATGCCTTCATTTCTCCTTCTGCTAAGAGACTGGCAGTGACGTGGCTAAGGACTGCTCACTCAGCAGGTAAGGAGCAGGCACAGCCAGGGGGCAGCTGGCAGAGGACATGGGGAGGAAATCAACCTCTGTGGTGGTAAACCATTGAGATTTAGAGTTTGTGGCCATCACCTAGTCCATCCTGACTCATATGGGCTCCAACCAATAGCTACCTCACTCACTGTTTTCTCTCTTTCTCTGATGTCAACTTTTTGTTGTTGTTGTTGTTTTTAGTTAGTTGGTTGATTATTACAGAATAAGTATGTTTCTCATTCTCATAACAAGTGAGAGTTGCATTGAAAACAACCCTTGTTTCCCTACCAAATTATTATGGATCTACCACCCATACCTTTATCTAAGTTTACCATTC